TGCAGCGTGAGGGCCCTTGGCTAGCGGAAGTGGAGGAGTGGGAATTTTATGTATGTACAGGGCTGTTGCAGCCTCTCCTATCAACTCTTACTTAGGGTGCTGCAGTCAAGAAGCGTATGGAAAGTGAGAGGCTGCCTGCCCGTAGCCACCAGTCCCCGGAATATGGGCCCAGGGAGAGAGTCTGTCTAGCCTGAGTGCAGAGGCAGGATGCCTTGCTGTGCTTCCCTGCCCCCAGCCAGCACTCTCTCTTCCAGAGCTGAGACGGTCAGCTCGTCACGCACCCAGGCGCAGCCCCTTGACTGGATTTCTCATAACTGACAGCAGAGCTTTTAAATTCAGAAAACTCTCCTGAGATCAGAGGGCTGAGATAACCAGGGGATGGGAGCAGAGGCCCAGTGACGTCTTTGCTACCCCCCTTGGGCAGAGCATTTTGGAGAGTTCTCTGGCCCCACGACCGCAGTTGAAGCTGGGCTTCGGCTGTCCCCCTGTATTGTGTGTGCGCTGATCTCCCCCCACCCCCGCCCTTCCCTGTTTGTGTGGGACAGGGCAGACTCCAGAGGCGTTGGTAGCTCTGTCACTGTTTGACTGTTCAAAGCATGGACTAGATGGACACTTCTACACTCTGTATGACTTCCCTGCTCAATGGAACATTCCATGGGCGTGGTGGCTTGTGGGTCTATGAATTCTTTAATGGTGGCCCCTCCTGGCCTCTTTCGAGCTAGGACGATCTGCTTTCAAATCCCAGGTTTGGGAAGCGTTCAATTATTTATTGAGTAGATAATATAGAGGCATTTCCCGAAAACCTCCTCCTAGCCCAATGAATGCCAAACTGGCCCAAATGGAGCCTGTTCTCACCCCCTTTACCACAGCAGTGTAGCCCTGGCAAGCAATGCCCTTCCTCGGAGAACACCATGTCTCATGAGGGTGGCTGCAGTCTGCTTGGATGTAAATTAGATAAGCCCCGGGTAGGCTGCCAAAGCAAAATGTCGGCCTCCTTGTCCTGCATTGCATTGGGAATCCCAGGCGCGGCGCAGCGTCCTGCGGTCTACAGGGTTGTGTGCATGGCCCACGTGGCAGCCGCCCACGTTCAAATGGTGCTAACGTTGTTCCAAAAAGCCCCCGCCAACGTATCCAGTGAACAGGCTGCCACATATCGCTCACCAAGGCATTGTTGCACGGTAGGAGCACAAATGGGTCACAACAATTTGGACCCCAAATTTTCTTTCAGGATGGGGGGAGGGGAAGGGATCTTGTATGCTTGTGCTCATATGCCCACTCTCTCCCTGAGCACTATGTCCGCAAGAGAATTTGAGGCACCAGTGCTGGTAGCCGTGGGTGGCTTTTCATTGCTGGTAGGTCTGCAGGAGACCTGGTAATAAAAATGTGTTAATCTCTTCCTAAGAACATCCAGGAAAAGGGGGAGGGGTCCTTGTAACCAGTGTTCATTCTATGGCTATATTTAAAAGCAAAATGTAGAATTTGTAATAAAAAATAAAAACAAAAAAATGTTAGAGGAGAAAGTTCTGGGCAATAAAGTTTGTTGGCTGTATGTGATGGAGTCTTTCTAGCTTGTCTTGCTCTCCTCGTGTGGGGTGCCAGTCTGACATTCAGTGCCAGGCATGGGGGGAGAAATCACTTCTTTTCACCCTGGCGGGAGATGTCTGTCTCTGTACATGCAGAGCAGAGCTAGCAGCGAGGCTCGGATCAGCTGCCGGGTGGTGTGAGCAGGCCCCCCGAGGGAGGTAACGTGTTGGGGTGGGGCAGAGCCGGCTGGCTGCCAGCTTGGATTCTCCTCTCCTGCCCAGCTCACTCATGCTCGGAAAACCCCCTGTCTGGTGCAGTTGCTCAGCCAGCAGCCTTGCAGAGTTGTTGCAATGACAATGAGGAGATGGGTGAATATGGAGGACTCACAGCTGTGACTTTGATGTCTCTGGCTGTCCGTTCAGCATCGCTCTTCTTGGAAACCTCGGCAGCCTCTACTCTGCAGTGGCCTAAGATGCTCTAGTGTCAAGTCCCTCTAGGGTGACCAGATGTCCCGATTTTATAGGGACAGTCCCAATTTTGGGGTCTTTTTCTTATATAAGCTCCTATTACCCCCCACCCCCTGTCCTGATTTTTCACACTTGCTGTCTGGTCACCCCAAGTCCCTCCTTTACTGACACCTCCCCAGTCTTTGACCTCTGCTGGCCAGGAAATCCCCAGGACAGCTGTTACTGTCTGGAATCTGGGCCCTGGGCCTGCTGGGCACAGGCAGGAGCAAGGCTAGAGCTGATGGGATCAGACTCCAGTACTGCAGCCCTCTCCCCTTGCAGCTAAGGGAACCTGGCTAGTTAACTTACAGCGGTAGAGGGGGGGTGGGACCCAGGTGACCTGGATTCTACTAGCTCTGATGGTGGCCTGCTGAGAGATTAGGGCAAGAACAGGTCTCTTCAGGACTGGAGAAGGGCAGCCATAGCCCCCTCTTTAAAAAGTGGAACAAAGAGGACCTGGGGCTTATAGACCAGTCCGCCTGACTTTGATACCTGGAGAGATCCTGGAACAAATGATGAACAGTTTGTATGCACCTTGAGGCTAACCGGTTTAGAAGGAATAGTCAGCATGGCTTTGTCTAGAACAAAGTATGCCAAGCTACCTTGATTTCCTTCTTTGACAGGATACAGGCTTAGGGGAGGGGGGAAGCAGCGGACATCATGTTTTGATGTCAGTAAGTCTCGACACAGTCCCATGTTCTTAGACACAAACAAGGGAAATGCGGTCTAGATTAATTTACTATCAGGTGAACAAGAACAGCAATACTGGGTCAGACCAATGGTCCATCTAGCCCGTGTCCTGTCCCTGGTAGTGGCCAGTGTCAGACGCTTCAGAGGGAATAAACAGGGCATTTAGCAAGAGATCCATTCCTTGTCAACCAGAGCCAGCTTCTTGCAGTCAGAGGTTTAGGGACACTCAGAGCAGGGGGTTTGTCCCTAGCCATTGCTGGACCATCCTCCATGAATTGATCTAATTCTTTTTTAAAACCAGTTACAGTTTTGGCCTTCGCAGCATCCCCTGGCAATGAGTTCCACAGGTTGACTCTGTGTTGTGTGAAGAAATACTCCCTTATGTTTATTGTAAACCTGCTGCTGGTTAATTTAATCAAGTGACCCCTGGTTCTTGTGTTAGGTGAAGGGGTGAATAACACTCCCCTGTTCACTTTTTCCGCACCCCGTTCATGATTTGTAGACCTCTACCATACCCCCTCTTAGTTGTCCCTTTTCTAAACTGAACAGTCCCAGTCTTTTTAATCTCTCCTCATCTGGAAGCTGTTCCACACCCTATTAATGTTTGTTTCTAATTTAGACTCCATCGTTGTATATGTATAGTTGGGATTGTGTTTTCCAATGTGCATTACTTTGCATTTATCAACATTGAATTTCATCTGCCATTCTGGTGCCCAGTCACCCAGTTCTGTGAGATCCCTTTGTAGCTCTTCGCACTCTGCTTTGGACTGAAGGGACGTTCCCTAGCCGGGCCAGGCTGGTCCCGCCCGGCTTTGGTCTCTGTGACAAGGGGTCTCGAGTCCCCCCTTCCGCGCCCCCAGCAGCTGGGCTCAGCGCTGCCGGGCGGGGCGAAGAGCGGCGGGCGCTAGGACCCGGGGCGAGGCCAGGGAGCCCGCTGCCCCTAGCCCCGCCCACCCGCTCAGCGCCGGGAGCGGACGCGTTGTTGCGTACCGCTGACGTCATCGCGTCTGCGCGTCCGCCCCGCGGAAGTAGGAGCGAGTCCGAGCTCAGGCGGGGTCGGGCCCACATCGGCCGCCGGGTGGGTTCCCCCGGCCCCATAGCTGGGTGCCCCGCCCCCACGAGCCCCTCCCAGCCCCACTAGCTGCCCATTGTCCCGCCCCCACCCCCTGGGTGCCCCCATCCTGCCCCCCAACCCCCAGTGGGTGCCCCCCGCCCCATAGCTTTCCCCCAACTCCCATAGCTGGGTGTCCCGCCCCATAGCTGCCCCCCAACCCCCAGTGGGTGCCCATCTCCCCGCCTCATAGCTGGGTGC